TGTTATGACTGAATCAATATCAGATAAATACTTGGGGTTGTCGTCTATGATTGGTGTTGATAGAGTTGATTGCTTTAAACACCTTATAGAAAGAATACAGAAACTTGTTAATGGCTGGAAGGAAAGAACCTTATCATATGGAGGGAAAGAGGCCTTAATCAAAACGGTGGCTCAAGCCATCCCGACCTATGCGATGGGAGTATTCAAATTTCCAAAGAAATTATGTAAGGGAATCACTGATGCTATATCATTTTTGGTGGGGTGACGGAGAGGACCAGTGGAAAATGCATTGGTTTGCTTGGTGGAAATGTGTGTCCCGAAGAGTTGGGGAGGTATGGGATTTCATGATATCCATAGTTTTAATTTGGCCATGTTAGCCAAACAATGTTGGCGCCTCATTGATAATTATGATTCCTTATGTGCACGCGTTCTCATAGTCAAATACTACCCCTGAGGTGATTTGTTGGACTGTGGACTAAAGAAGGGATGATCATATGTTTGGTAGAGTATTTGGGTAGGGATTCAAACATTCAAGAAAGGATGCATTTGGAGGGTTGGCAATGGCATGAAAATTAATACATGGGAAGATTGTTGGATCCCTAGTAGTAATTCAAGGAAGATAATAACTGTGAGGGGCAACTGTGTGCTCACAACGGTGAATGAACTCATAAACCCAGTCACTGGGGACTGGGACGAGGAGCTGATACGAGACAATTTTTGGAGTATAGGCGCAGATAGGATTTTGCGAATCCCGATCTTCCAGCATGAAACGGAGGACTTCGTTGCTTGGCATCTTACCAAGTCGGGTATTTTTTCAGTACGCTCAGCTTATTATAAGCAATGGGAGGAATATTATGAATCAAGTAATATAAACCCTCACGGCATATCCCTCAAAAAAAACCTCACGGCATAAGTGGCTCCTTGGCACATCCAGTTTGGAGGAAACTTTGGAGTTTGAAGATACTGGGCAAAATTAAAAAAAAAAAATCTTTGGAGATGTCTTCATGATGCATTCCCTTGCTGTTGTCTTTTAGCAAATAGGCACATATCTCGCTCAGCTCAATGTCGGATTTGCTCCACGCATGCTGAGGATATAGCTCATATGGCATTCAAATGCAACAGAGCAAAGGACGTATGGAGGTGCCTTGGCGTACATGAAATAATGGCTACAGTAGCTGCACCTGGACGTACAGGAGTAGAAATCATGGAAATCTTTCTCTGTGACCCAGAACATAAGAAGCAATATATGAGCATTGTTGAACTACCAGAGCTGGTGGCGGTGACGAGCTGGTATCTATGATGGCAGCAAAGACAAATTGTTAAGCATGAAGAGGTCCAAACACCGGTGCGGTCATGCCAATCCATCAGGGGCACTCTGTCTGAATTTTTCGCGTGCGGCCAGTAAGCCTAGAGCGACACCAAGACTGAATCATTGGAGGAGGCCCCTAGTGGGTCAGTTGGCGCTTAATGTCGATGCTGCTTTCTCGGATGAGGACAACACCGGTGCAGGTGGAGCAATTATTCGTGACAGTAGCGGCCTTTTCGTAGCTGTTGGAACCGCAACCCTCTTTCACTCTCGGCTAGAGGTAGAAGAAGACACAAGACATAAGAAATTCCGGGTCGGCGCACGAACACTGCCACGGGCGCACGAACGTCCCAATCCTTTTCTTTTTACAGTGGCTACATTGCTACACTTGGCTCCACACCATCTTCACAGTGACTAACAGCTGCTTAAATAACACACGGCCACACACATCAGAGCCACCCACGCACTAACCAACTAGAACGCCACACGGGCCACTAACCCACGGCCTGGCTAACAAACTATGCATGCACACAACTAATTCTATGCATGTGCACATCACACGCAAAGCTAGCTACCACGCAACCGCGCGCGCCACACTGTGATCCGTATAGCCCGGCCGCGCGTATGGCACGCACTCGTACGCGCTCAACACAGCCGGACCAACTGATCCCTATGCCCACGCCCTGCATAGACTGCAAATGCCGCACCCGACGTCATCGCTGGAGTATGGCTTATTGCCAACACTCACTCCTTAAGTCATGCCGTCGCTGAAGTTGTTGCAACTCCTGTCGTTGTCATCGTCACGAGCGTGGCCCAGCCCGCGGATCCGACCTGGTGCAACGACGCCGGTCGCACCGCCACGGATGACTCCGGCGACACATGTCTAGCGTCCCTCTGCGTACCGCACGTCTCGCGCGCACCCGACGCGCCCGACGCCCCAGTACGTCCCGCGCGCACCTGACGCGTCCGACGAGCCCGACCATACCAGTGCGTCCCGCCCGTCCCGCGCGCATCCAACGTGCCCGACGAGCCCGGCTGCACCAGACGCTCACCGCGTGCCGCCTCCGCGTCCGCCATGGCAGCCACCAGCGACAAACGCCGGAAGGATGTAGCCGAACTCGAGCACGGACTCGAGCACAACGGCGACATACGCCTCCTCCCGACGTCAACCGCATGCTCGTACGCGCGCTCGCGGTCCCAACGCGCCCGGCGCGTCCAATGTGCACCCATAACACGCATCGGTCGCGCCCTGCTCGTCGCCGCGGCTTATTGCCCTGCACCGCCGCGGCCTCCATGCCGCCATGCAGTGCCTCCACACCGCCACGCCGTGCTGCGCCGCTGCACCACCACGTAGCACCTCGGCGGCCTCCGCGCTCACCGCACGTACGACGTCACCGCCCGCCGCCTCCGCCACGCGCCATGACAGCCACCGCGCCGCCCACCTCCATGGGCCGACACACAGCCCGAAGCTCCGTCGCGCAGCTGCCGGCGAGCGCCGCCATCGCTGCCACGCCTCCGGCACGGCAAGCACGTCCAAGACACCAAGCTCATGATATCAAATGTTGGAACCGCAGCCCTCTCTCACTCTCGGCTAGAGGTAGAAGAAGACACAAGACATAAGAAATTCCGGGCCGGCGCACGAACGCCGCCACGGGCGCACAAACGCCCCAATCCTTTTCTTTTTACAATGGCTACATTGCTACACTCGGCTCCACACCATCTTCACGGTAACTAACAGCTGCTTAAATAACACACGGCCACACACATCAGAGCCACCCACGCACTAACCAACTAGAACGCCACACGGGCCACTAACCCACGGCCTGGCTAACAAACTATGCATGCACACAACTAATTCTATGCATGTGCACATCACACGCAAAGCTAGCTACCACGCAACCGCGCCACACTGTGATCCGTATAGCCCGGCCGCGCGTATGGCACGCACTCGATACGCGCTCAACACAGCCGGACCAACTGATCCCTATGCCCACGCCCTGCATAGACCGCATATGCCGCACCCGACGCCGGTCGTCATCGTTGGAGCATGGCTTATTGCCAACAGTAGCAGCTGCCATGGCGAAATTTGAACACATCGCGGATGTGGAGTCAACTGAAGCGGCTGTCATAGGTCACCTATGACCACAAACCCCAGCCGCCGTCATAGGTCACCTTCACGACGCCCCCTTGGTCCCCCTCATCTCCCCTGTCTAGCGGTCTCGTCGGCGGCAAGAAGAGTGGGGACCCTGCATGTTTCATTTTTCTTTTCTTTAGGTTTTATTTCCCAGACGTCATTGGCAAGGTGATGGTGGCGTTGGCATGTCGAATAAGGACTCTTTGTCCTCTCCCTACTCGATGATGCTTGATCAAAAACCGGCGAAGGGTATGTGAGAGTTTGTGTCATTAGATTTGTTGGTTGTCTTCGAATCTTGACAGTTGGTGTTTCTATCAATGAGTGCAGTTTTGCTGGCTATTGGTGCAACAACTTCGACCTCTTCTTCCATATTGTTCTGCTAGGTGGTTTGGTTTTCTCCCATTCTATGGTCCGGTGGTGATGGATTGCAAGATTGTAGTGCATGAGGTGATGCTCCAAACCAATGTTTCTTCAACGAGTTCTAGATCTCGTCTTGAATGAGGAGTGGCTATTATGGTCTTTAAAGCCTGGTATGGCGAGAGCACTTGCATGTGTCCCTTTCATTTACCGTTGGTTCAGTGCAATTTTTAATCTCTGGTGTGTGGCGTACAATTGGAGGAAGAAGGGTAGTATGATTTTAAATGTAACTTTTTATGGTTGTGAAGCATCCAATTGTCTTTCCATTGTACTCGTTATTGTTTTTCTCAATAATTATCAGATTTAAGATGCCCTTGGGTGTCGTTCTTCTTAAAAAAAAGAGCATTGGTTTTGATGGTGATTTTGTAGAGAAGGAAGGGTAACCATATTCTTTAGATAGGACCAGTTCTAGTGTATTTTGTTTGGAACATTTTCATATTTGATACAACATCACATATCAAATATCACAAAAAACTATAATGAAGACTGTCCAATTTTTTCAACACATTTATGGCCTAACTCAAGAGGAGAATCTGACCATTTGGATTTCATAGTAAACATAGATGGAAAGTTCAGACAGATGCATTTTCTGTTCATACGGTAATATGATATTAATTTCTGCAGTTCAGGAAATCGACACAAGGTTATGAAATTCCGAAGATTTCAAATGGTTTCATTCCCACTGGAATGTAATATGGTGTAAAACACATAACCAACATACTATACACTAAATTGACGTTTGACAACGTTGAACCAACATACACTGAATTTCTTTCATCTTCTTCCAGATGAATCATTTGGTAGTTTTCAATTTATTCTTGGACAAATTTCCTGTACCTCGGCCTGATACGGTGCAGTTGGCCCGTCCAAATCATGCTCATCATTGCTATCGGCAACAGTTTTGTTTGGTTCCATAGTCTCGACATCATCTTTGCCGCCATGTTTAATGCTTGGTTTCTTCTAGCCACCAGATTTTCCTTGTTTTTTTTTTGGAGGGGGCACTTATGGTATCCTTGTTTTGCTGTCCCCTGACAGCCCGGAATGTTGCCACCCTCTTTCTTGGCTTCAAATTGTCATCATCTTCTCCTTCTACCCTTGCTTCCTTGGCATCACCATCCTCACTCACTTGCCCTGGGCTAGCCACTACCTTTTTGTTAGATTGGGTCCCAGACAGCTTCTGTAGTTGTGGCACATATATAGGCTGTAGTCTAATAGAGAGAGAACAAATCAGAGGGTTAGATAGATTTAGGATGGTAGAAGGCATGGTAGTGAAGTACTGTTGCTCAACCTGCCACCAGCTGTTATGAATTCAATGTTCTTTCCTGCAATAACCAGAAATTGGATAAATCTAACGAGGACCAAAGGACAACAAACTGGACCAAATAATTACTGAAATTCCGATAAATCCAACATAATTGTCACAGTTCATCATACGAAATGCAAAACTACGATGAGTTCCGGTGGTGACCATTTTTTCTCAAATAACGGCTGAGACGTTGTTCAAGACTACCCCGTTTTTTTTAGAAACTCGCCATCGACTTCACCAGGCTTCTTGCCCCAGCGGTGATGAAACAACCATTCCACAGGAAAGGGATCACAATCAGCATCAACATCAACAGCATATTTCACAACCTAATAATTTCTTGGGTCAAGACACAACAATTCTGCAAGGTAAATACAGTAGTACAGTAAAGTACAGTTACTCAAAACAATAAAAAGTTAGAGTAACCTCTTGGCTGCTTTGGTGTATTGCTTCACAACTCTCCCTTGTTAGGCTTGAAGCAATCTGCAATGGATGGGTTTTCGATTACAAAGAATAACATGAACTCTGTTACGACCAAGCAGCACTGAAACACAAGTGCAGAAGATGCAGCAGTTCTATCTATTGAACAGTAGCAGCTTTATCTATTAGGTGTGTTAATTAGGCAAAATTGTTAGGGATAAGATCAGATTGCTACAGGTCCCTGGCATGGCTATTAATACCTTTTGAATATTAGTTGGAGATAAGCGAAGAATAACAAAATAAATTCCTAGTCCTTTCCCATCTTGTACAATCAGGCCTCAACAATCAAGTGCGACTGTCCAACCATTGGTCCTAGGACCCGTACATTTTTTAGAGAAAAGGCGCCGGCTGAACCCGAGGAGAGCTCGAACCTAGCCTGTCTTTGAATTAACAAAGCCATCAACCGGCCAGGATTACAAGGGCACCACATTACAAAGGGGGTGAATGCAAAGCAAAGCGGAAAGAAGATACAAGGTGCTAGGCAAAACAGCACAATGGCAACAGCAGAGCACCGTTACCAACGACCAGCACTACGCCTACACCAAGTAGCCAACTAAGTGCTCGGGAGGAGGGACACGCCATGCAAGCATTGAGCGCCGGCTACATCCACGGTCATACTTGGGCAACACTTGAGCTGTCTCCACCATTGCAAAGGGCCACTACACTTTCACCCAGGCTCGACGGGTGCCGCACTAGCGCCCAGCAGAGTGGCTGCCACATAGCCCAGCTCAAGGTGACCGAGCGCCATAGGAGAAGCAGACATCTCTGACCCACAAGCAACGGAAGACCAACCAGACGAGAACCAAAGTCGGCAGAGGTAGCACGGAGCACGGGACGTGAGCTGTCGGACGAAGGCGCGCAACCATGAAGAAGACAGAAGAAGCATCACAACGCATGGGCGAGGCCGAGCAGGATGTAGCAGGAAAACCAGGCCGTCATGCTTCGGAACCGAGACACCGACTGCTCCACCACTAAGAGCAAATCCCGACCGCCGCCTTCAAGAAGGAGCACGCCACCGAGATGCTGTCGACGCCCAGACCAAGGGAGAACCAGCTTTCGACGGAGCTCAGTGAGGAGGCGGGAGGGGGAGGGTCCACCCCCAAAGCCTCCAAGGAGGGGATTGGCGCCAAAGACGTCGACTTTGGGGGGCCACCGCGCCGGCTAGGGGTTTCCCCCGGAACCACACCCAAACGCCAGATCCGGCCATCTGGCACCATGGGACGACGAACGCTGCCACCAGGGACCAATGCCGGCACGGATCGGAGCAGATCGGGCCGGCACCAAAGCTCTACCATGGTGCTCGGCGAACTGCGATGAGCCACCGCTGCGCCGTCGACCGCGACCTCCACGCTGCCCACATAGTCGTGGGAGGCCGCGCGCCACCGACCGGGGCCGTAGCCCTCCATCCGAGGAGGAAGCGTCAGATCCCCACCACCACCTCCATCGGGGTCGCGTGCCAACGCCGAGCGCCCCTCTAGCAGGAGGGAGGGGGAGGGGGAACCGCGGTGGCAGCGCTAGGGTTGCCCCAGAGTCGCGGTGCCAAATCTAATCTGACAGAAGTCTAGGACCCGTACATTCCCATAACAAATTCAGAGTTCAAGTGCTGCACTTGGTGCAAGCCTCACACATTTTTGTACCAGTACCTGGTAAAGCACCTCGTGTGCAATCCAATTACCAATGCCTTGTATGAAGCTCTGCTCATTAAAAAAGGCAGGATGTCAGGTATGGTATGGTATCATAAGAAAATAGTACGAGTTAATTCTGTATATCATCGGAAAATATTATTATAGAATGTAGAGGCAAGAATTGCAATCGGTTCGATAGCGATCACCTGATAGTATGCTGGAGATCACCTTTTCTTTCATTGTCAATTTGCACAATTATGTTGGAGCTACATTTGCACCAACTGGCAGCCAGCACATACAGGCATTCAGGAGGAAATTAGCAACCTAAAGCAATTGCTGAGTGTACCATATGCGATGGAGATCATCATCCTAACCTGCTGGGCAATCTGGACAACTAGGAATGATCACATATTCCAACACATTCAGCCAAGCATATACAGATGCAGAAAGAAGCTAAAAGAAGAATTCAAATGGATCATCTACAGAGTCAAGAGGAAGGAATACAGTGGATTTGAGGCTTGGATCAAATCCTTTAGATAACTTGCTATGCTGCTGTTGTATTTGTTGTTTACCGTCTCTTCTTTCTTTCCTTAGTTTTGTTTGTATCTTCGATGTATAATTATTTTTTATTTTTTCAGACCTTATTCTTTGTACTATATATTTTTAAAAAATAATAAAAATACGCAGCAGAGTCCTGCTGTTTCCCTCAAAAAAAATCACCTGATAGTGTAAAAGGGCTTTTATTCCAATCTTCTTCTTGGTCAGTGAGTCCACAAAATTGTCAACGGACATCGGCTCAAAGAGAGCATCCGGACCTAGCTCAGAAATTGGAGGTACAGTTTCAGGATGCCAACAACAATTGAGTGAGCGAACTTGTACAAAATTTAAAGGACAAGTATCTCTAGATAATTTACAAAGAAACTTGCACATACATAATCAAATAACCGAACTCTTGCAAAGCGCCTCTTATCAGTGAAGGAAAACTCCAAGCCATCAAGCTGTAAAATGCGTAAATTTTAAAAGGTTAGGCGCATCAAAGTTCAAAATCAACTTCAAATGAGCCTTGGCTCCCAGTGTTAACAGGTTAGAGACATCAATAATAACTCCAAGCCGTGGAGCTCCTTCCCAGAAATCTTCAGGACGGACTAACTAGTGGGGAAATTCCAGACCTGGCCAACAATTGATGAGATACTGTTTTATTACAAGGGAGTTGGCTGTTATCCATTGATATATCACAGACCTTTTTTTACCTGCAACTCCATGAGGCCCTCAGGAGCTAACTCTAGTCCTGGCCAGTGTGCCATGGCTTAAAATTTAATTAGCTTAAACACATCAACAATAGATCCAAGCCATGGAGCTCCTTCCTAGCCACATTGAGGACAGACTAACCAGTAGGAAAATTCTAGGCCTAGCTACCTATCGATGAGATACTTTGTTTTATCATAGGGAGGTAACTGCTTAATTCGTTGATATCATGGAACTTATTTGTGCTAGCCACTCCCCGGGCCTCAAGGTGCTAACTATAGTCCGGGCGAGTGAGCCAGGACCTCCATATCCGATTTGCTGCCATTCCCCGGATCCTAAAATTCACTGATCCGGGATTTTATTAAGTGAGTAGTTTGTTTGTGCGGCTGACAGTGTGTTCATTAAGCTCGGTCTGTGCTACTGGAATAGGACAATTCCTGCTTATCACAATCACAGCGATCCTACAATTCACCAAGAAAGATATGACAAGAGCCGGGATCCTATTTAGCTTTCAACTTAGGAACTAATAATATCATAAGTTCAGGAGTCTCTTCAAGCACGGTCACAAAAGCAACACATAACCACCGATAATTCCGCATCGATACAAAACCTAAAAGAATCTGCACATTGTGCTTGGCCTCCTGACCTCAACGAAAAACTTGGAGTACTTGGACGGCCACTCGTCCTCGGAGTTGACAGCTGATCTGAAACCATCCATACTGGTAGGAGCTAGGGCCCTACCGGGTCTAGGCCGGAATGCGGGCGAGGTCTTGACCGCGGTGGCCGGCGTGCAGGCGCCGTCTCGCGCGGGAGGAGAGGCGGTGGCGATGGAGGAGGCGGCGGCTAGGTTAGGGTTGAGGAGCCGGGCAATAGAATATGTCTTATTGCTTAATTTCCAAAAGAGGGTCTTACAGCTGTTTATGTAATCTCGATGCTAATAAAAATAAGATAACTTAGGCTAAGCCCCTAACTAAACGCGCCCATTGGGCCTCCTCCGGCTATAAGTTGTGCCGGTCATAACATCTCTCCCCGCCTGCGCAAACAGCTCGTCCTCGAGCTGGAAGTCTAGATAGTGTTGGCGGAACTCGTCACGCTGCTCCCACGTGGTGTCCTCCTTCGGAAGGCCGTCCCACTGGATCAACAAGTACCACACCCCGCGATGCAGCTGGGCCTACAACACCTTCGCTGGCCCGGGAAGCACGCGTCCGTCGGAGGTCGGAGGAAGCACTGGCGGCTCCCCACGGAAGGGCTTCAGTAGCCCCACATGGAAGACGTCATGGATGCGAGCACCGGCCGGAAGCTGAAGGCGGTAGGCCACCTTTCCGATGCGCTCCAGCACGGAAAATGGCCCGGCATAGCGAGGGCCCAGCTTGCGCTTCACGCGCGGGTCAAGGGGCTGCGTAGAGTAGAGCGGTGAAGAAGGCGCAGCCACACCCAATCGCCCACCGCGAACTCTACCTCGCGATGGTGGCCGTCATAGTAGTGCTTGGCTAGCTGCTGGGCCTGAATGAGGCGTTGCCGCACCTCCGCAAGCATCTCGTCCCGGCTGCGAGGAAGGTCGCCCGCCGCCTCCGTCCGAGCCGTCTCCGGGTCAACCGGCGGGATGGGCGGGGGCGGTCGGCCATAGAACACCTCGAACGGCATGGCGTGCAGGGCGGAGTGATAAGAGATTTAGTAGCAATACTCCGTCCAGGTGAGCCATTCCACCCAAGCACGAGGACGATCACATGTGACGCAACGCAAATACATGCCAATCACCTTGTTGACCACCTCGGATTGGCTGTCCGTCTGAGGATGGAAGGTCGTGCTAAGGCGGAGTTTCAAGCCCGCCATCTAAAAGAGATCGCGCCAGACATGCCACGTGAACACCGGGTCCCGGTCACTGACGATCGAAGAGGGAAACCTGTCGAGGCGGACGATGTTGTCGAAGAAGGCCCGGGCCACGGAGGCGGCAGTGTAGGGATGGCCGGGCGCGATGAAGTGCGCGTACTTGGAGAAGCGGTCGACCACCATGAGGATGACGGACTTGCCGCACCTTGGGGAGGCCCTCGATGAAATCCATGGAGATATCAGCCCAGACCTCAGAAGGCACCTCCAAGGGCTATAGCAGACCAGCCGGCCGCAGCGTCTCCGTCTTGTTACGCTGGCATGTAACACAAGACCGCACCTAGTCCCGGACCAGGACCCGATCGCCGGGGATGTAGAAATCAGCGCGGAGACGGTGGAGGGTCTTTTGCACACCCTCGTGGCTGGCTGAGTGTGCCAGCAGCAGAACCTGGTGACTGAGGTCGCAGTGATCTGGCACGAAGAGACGGCGCCCATGCAGGAGCAAGCCATCCGCCAAACGCCACGGCTCCTCCAGGTTGCCGGCATCAAGGCACTGTCGAAGGAGCTGAGCGTCCGGCGCGTCCGCAATGGCCCTGCGGGTGGCGCCAAAGAGGGCGAAGGAGGGCCCCGAGCGGATGTAGAGAGGCGCCCGTCAGAGTCGTCGACGTCTACGTCGTGGTCGGCGTCACGGCGAGACAAGGCGTCGGCCACGGTGTTATGGCGGCCCAGACGATACTTGATGGTCAAGTCGAAGCCAAAGAGCTTGCTGATCCACTGGTGCTGCGGTACGGTAGACAACCTCTGGTCCAATAAGAACTTGAGGCTGTAGTGATCCGTGCGTATCCGGAACAACCGTCCCCAAAGATATGGCTGTCAGTGGCGCACGGCCTGCACCAAGCCAATGAGATCCCTCTCATAGACCGCGAGCTTATGATGGCGCGCGGTGAAAGGCCTGCTGAAGAACGCGAGGGGCCCGTCTCCCTGATGAAGTACGACGCCGAACCCCACACCGGAGGCGTCGTAGTGCACCACGAGCGGCCGGTCGAAGTCGGGCATCTGGAGGATGGGACCCGTCGCGAGGGCTCCCTTGAGGGCCTCGAACGCCCCCGTTGCCTCCGCATCCCAGGCGAAGGCGTCGCGTCGCAGCAAGCGCGTGTGCGGGGACGCGATGAGGCCGAACTCCCGGATAAATTTCCGGTAGTACTCCGCGAGGCCCAAGAAGCCGCGGAGAGCTCGCGGTGAGTGCGGTGTTGGCTAGGCCGCGACCGCCGCCACCTTGTCGGCGTCCATAGCAACACCCTCGGCCGAGATGCCATGGCCGAGGTAGGCGACTGAAGGCATGCCGAACGAGCACTTCGAGCGCTTAAGATGAAGATGGTGCGCTCGAAGCTCGTTGAAGACGATGGCGACGTGCTGAAGGTGCTCCGCCCACGAGGCGTTGTAGATAAGAATGTCATCAAAGAAAACGAGCACAAACCGACACAAGTAGGGGCGGAGGACATCATTCATCAAGGCCTGGAAGGTCGCCGGGGCGTTGGAGAGGCCAAAAGGCATCACCAAGAACTCGAAGTGGCCGTGATGAGTCCGAAATGCCGTCTTGGCGACATCGTCCGGGTGCATCCGCACCTGGTGGTAGCCCGAACGGAGGTCGAGCTTGGTGAAGAAGCACGGCCCATGTAGCTCGTCTAGGAGCTCGTCGACGACCGGAATAGAAAACTTTTCCTTCAGTGTCTGGGCGTTAAGGGCGCGGTAGTCGATGCAGAAGCGCCACGTGCCGTCCGACTTGCGGACGAGGAGGAACGGCACCGAAAACGGCGAAGTGGAGATCTGGATGATGCCCAAGGCAAGCATGAGCGTGCACTACCGCTCCAGCACGTCCTTCTGCAGCTGGGCATAGCGGTAGGGGCGCACTGCAACCGGCATCGTGCCCGGCAGGAGATGAATGCGGTGATCATACACCCGGGCTGGCAGAAGGCCCTGTGGCTCGTCGAAGAGGTCGCGATGCTGCTACAGAAGGTGATCCAACAGTGGGTGCTTGGGGTCGGCAGCAGTTGCAGCCAGCTGCAGCTGCGGTGTCGCTAGTGAGGCACCACCCACGCCCTCCCACCAGACGCAGTGACCTAGGCGCTAGAAGGTCATCGTCATGTCATCAAAGTCCCAGAGATGGGACCGAGGGTCTGCAAGAAGTCGAGCCGAGGATGAAGTCGAAGCAGACCAAGTCAATGCCGACGCATGTGATGGTGAAGTGCTCATCGCCAATGGTGATGGGCACGTTCCGCGCCAGCCCATGGCATAGGAGGCGGTCACCGTTAGCCATAGTGACCCTGGGTTGCTCCCCGCCCGTCGGCTGAAGCGCTAAGCGACCCATGGTCGCCTCGGGAAGGAAGTTATGCGTGGAGCCCGTATCTAGGAGGGCCGCCAGGCGCTCGCCGTGAATCATCACCGGCAAGAGCATAGTCCGCTCGTCGCAGATGCCCGCGAGCGCATGGAGCGAGACCACGAGAGTCCTCGCCGGTGCGGGCGCCGGGGCAGCCTCCGTAGCAACTGGTGGAGGCAACTCGTCGAGCCCGTCGGCGGGTGTGTCCTCCTCGACGTAGTCGGCCGCTTCCAAGTAGAAGAGGCGCGGGCAGACATGGCCCGGCATGTAGGGCTTGTCGCAGTTATAGCAAAGCCCCTGGCGACGTCGCTCGAGCTGCTCGACCGGAGAGAGTCGACGGAAGGGCCGCGTTGTGGCCGGAGTGGTGGTTGCTGGAGCGGCCGGGGGCGGACGGCCCGGCACAGGTGGTGTCGGGGGCGGCCTGGCTGGCTGGCGGCCACCCCGAGCCGGTGACGCCTGCTGCAAGGCCTGCGTGCGACACTTGAAGGCGCGGGCGTAGTACATGGCCGTCTGGAGGTCCTGAGGTCCCCGAAGCTCCACGTGCACGCGGATGTGATCTGGTAGACCGCCGACGAAGAGCTCGGTCCGCTGACGAGCCGTCACGCCGGGCGCGTGGCATGCCAGGGCCTGAAAGCGGTCGGCGAAGTCTTGCACCATGGAGAAGAAGGGGAGGCGGCAGAGTTCCGCCAGCCATCTCCCGCGTCCCGGCGGCCCAAAGCGAATGAGGCATAGCTCACGAAAGCGCTCCCATGAGGGCAGGCACGCCCTCGTCCTGCTCGAGGGCGTAGTACCATGTTTGTTCGGCGCCTCGGACGTGATATGAGGCGAGCCAGGTGCGGTCCAACGCGAGCGTGCGTTGCCCCCGAAAGAACCGCTCACACTGATTAAGCCAGTTGAGGGGGTCCTCGATGCCGTCGTAGGTGGCGAAGTCAAGCTTGGAGAAACCGGCGGTGTCTGAGTATAACCGCCGTGCGCGTACAGCTCGACGGTACTGAGCAGCGAGGGGGATGGCGCCGGGACGGTGGACACAGGGGGTCCCCCATGGAACGGCAGCCCGTCGAGGCCAGCGTAGGGACCCGCGGAACCGGAGGGCCCGCCGTACTGCAGGGTGGGCGCCCGCTGTTCCGAGGCCATCGTGTAGACCGGATGCGGCGATGACCCGGCCAACCAGGCCGGAAGCGATGACGGCGAGGTTGGGAACCGGACCTGGTGGATCGAGACTCCCGCCGGCACGGCCAGAGCTGGCCTGGAGCTGAGCGGCGGTGACGCCGGGGCAGCTGCAGCGGCTGCTCCAGCGGGGCAACGGGCACGGCGGGAGCCGCGAGGGCCTGCGCCGACCACGCCGGCCAGAGCGGGGTGGTGAAGGGGGGAGTAGTACTATCTTAGTGAAACAATATGTTCGCAACTTCCAAGGTGAGATACCAAACGGAAAAGAGCACTTGCCTCTTGTACTTTGTGATGGCAACGCCCTTTATGTAGATCGCACCTGCCATCGCTGCAAACCCAGAGCATGCTCTTGTCAGTCGTCGGTGTTTGGCCAAGCCCGACAAATTGTTCCCATTCCAAACTCTCCATCGCTTGGAAAGATATTAATCAGCAATAATTATCATTGGGATATCATCAACGAGCAATTAAGCGAATTCTCCGCGTCAATCGAGCATAAATCATCGCCAACCAAGCAATTTGCTGCAGAACAAGCAATTAGCAAAGTAGGACGAGGCAGGGTAGGTCGGGGGAACTGTCGTGTGGAAGTAGTGGGTAATGACCGAACTGGAAGGAGGGGAAGGGCGGGGCGTCGAGGCAGAGCCAGAGGTTCTTGCCCCTCCGGCGCGCGGCCACGATGGTCCTGCCCACCATGGTTCTTACCCCGGCGGCGGCGGCGACGAGCTTGGACTTGGAGTCGTCCGCGACGGCGCAGCGCGTGATGGGGTGGCCCACGCAGTGCGCCTCCAGCGCCCGCCGCGCTGCTTCCACCTCCGGCAGTTCTGTCATCTCCGCTCTCCCCCTCTCCGGCGTCAGTCTCAGGCAGGCCGCGAGCGAGTCCGTCCCAACCGGGCCCAAGCGCGAATGGGTTGAGTTTGGGCGTCTCCTCAGGGCGCCTCGCATTAAGCGAAACCTATGGAACCCTCACCCAATGGGGAGAGAGATGGCCCGGCCCAGACGCGCGGGATGCCACAGCCTCGTTTTTTCTTTTTCCTTTTTTATGCTTTATGTTTCCGTTTTTTGCCTTTTTTCAAAAAAAAAGACTCTTTTAAAATATTCTATTTATATTTTACAAAAAACGCTCTACAAAACAATATTTGAAAATGTTGACCAACAATTTGAAAAATATTAAATACATATAGAGAAAATGTTTACGACGCATACAAAAATATATATATAATAATGTTTGTGAAAAAAAATTGATCATGTATTTAAAACGTTTTAATCAAGCATTTGAATTAAAATCTTGAACGAGTATTTGAAATTTTTTAATCAAACATTTCAAAATCTAAAACGTGTATAGAAAAAAAATGATGACCATGTATTAAAAATGATGCTGTTATTTGATCATGTATATATAAAAATGTTACTCAAGCATTTGAAAAAATGTCGAACAAGTATATAAAAAATGTTAATCAAGCATTTTAAAAATGTTAAATGTGTATAGAAAAATGTTCTCCATGTATTAAAAAATGATGAAGTTTTTTATCATGTATATAAATATGTTAATCAAGCATTTGAGAAAATGTAGAACAATTATTAAAAAATGTTAACCAAGCATTTGGAAAATCTTAAATGTGTATAAAAAATGTTGATCATATATTAAAAAATGTTTTGACGTACCAATCAGATTATAATGGAAATAGCTTCGCCTAGCCTTGTTTGGCATTGGCACTTTTTTGTTTTCCCACTATGTTCAAGTTGGCATATACACCTTGGTATGACTTAAATCGTCAGGGGCCCCGTCGGTGTCAAAACCGGTGGATCTCGGGTAGGGGTCCTAAACTGTGCGTCTAAGACGGATGGTAACAAGAGGCAGGGGGCACGATGTTTTACCCAGGTTCGGGCCCTCTTGATGGAGGTGAAACCCTACGTCCTGCTTGATTTATTCTTGATAATATGAGTAGTACAAGAGTTGATCTACCACGAAATCGGAGAGGCTAAACCCTAGAAGCTAGCCTATGGTATGATTGTATGTTGTCCTACGGACTAAAACCCTCCGGTTTATATAGACACCGGAGGGGGCTAGGGTTACACAAGGTCGGTTACAAAGGAGGAGATATACATATCCGTATTGCCTAGCTTGCCTTCCACGTCAAGTAGAGTCCCATCCGGACACGGGACGAAGTGTTCAATCTTGTATCTTCATGGTCCAACAGTCCGGCCAAAGGATATAATCGGATGTCCGGATACCCCCTAATCCAGGACTTCCTCTGTAGCCCCCGAACCAGACTTCAATGACGATGAGTCTGGCACGCAATGTTGTCTTCGGCATTGCAAGGCAGATTCTTCTCCAAATTTCGAACATTTGTTTAAGCAGTGACTGGTCCCATAAATGTTGAACCTCTTGGCTTCTGCGCCCAATAAGGGCTATCTTCCACGCGTCGAATGAATGCGAGGCGCCAGGGCGTTTTTACATCCGCCCCCCTAGCCAGATAAATAAATTGTCTATTAAAGGGGTGGGGATTCTTAGATCCAATCCATACCATCCTCCCCCAGCGAGAATCCATCGGAGCGCGCTTTAGAAAGATCCACTCCAGCATGGCCGACCTTCGCAGGTCCTCCTCCCGCCCCCGTAGCCCTAAGCCCGATGATTGGGAGAGGTGTTCAGTCCCACACAGTCGATTAGTCAAACTGCAGACTAAGGGATCTCTCCCTCCAGCGTATATGGTGCCCGTCCGAGCCGGGCTCGCCACCTACAATGGCGGGGAGCAAGCGGAGAGCTTCCCCAACCCCTCTACAGGGAAGCGGGTATGCCTTGTCCCTTATTTATTGAGGGGACTCGTATTTCCGATTCATCCCTTCCTCCGCGGGCTCCTGGAGTTTTACGGCCTCCAACTGCATAATTTCACCCCTGCTTCCATTTTACACATCGCCGCTATGTTGCCCTCTGCGAGTTATTCCTGGGCTGCGAGGCTCATTTAGAGCTGTGGAAAAGGTTATTTTTCCTCGTCCCTCGCACATAGAAGGGGTCACTTTATCAAGTGGGCGGAGCCAAAATATGGCGCATCGCCGAAACTGGATACCTGTCCGGTACTCCGAAGAAGACGTCCGAAGACTGGCCTTCGGAATGGTTTTATATGGAGGACGTCCCCCTTCCAGACCCTGTTCGGCGGGGTCTTTCTGAGTTCAGCAATGCTCCTCTGAAGAAAGGCCGAAGTTGGCACCCACGGAGCCCCCAGGAGGAAGACAACGGAGAAGTCCTTTACCTGATGAACCGGATTAAAGCGCTGGCTCAATCAGGATTGACAGTAATCGAGGTTATGTCAATATGCATAATGCGGGGAGTGCAACCACTTCAATATTGAGGGCACCCCTTGTGGTGTTTTAACGGGGAAGATGACGTCACCCGTTGCGGGCGTAAGGGTCCGGACAACGCTGCCGCTTTAGCAAAAATTCTGTCTGAATTGTTCAAGGGAGAGGAAGAGGAATTCATCCGCATCAAGCCACGGGATGGACTCTCCATGTACAACCCTCCAAGCTGGGTGAGTTATATTTCCTTACTCCCATTCTTCCCGTATTCTTTGTCTTAGGTACTCACCTTGCCATTTTGCGGCAGGAACTGCGAAAATCCATAAGGGAGGTCAGCAGCCCATCTCCACAACCAGAGGACCCTGACTGGGCCCTTGGTACCGGACTCGAAGAAGATCCGGACATATTCGTGGAGCTGATAGACCGGCAGTTCTATCAATTAAGCTGTGATGACGCCATGGTGGCCATTACGACCGACTATCCCGGACTACTTCCTGCATCGCACGTAAGAAAAAACAAAAATCCCAACTCCAAAAACTAGGATCCCCTTTTAGACACTTCACCTACCATATACATATGGTGTTTTTACAGGGAAGGCATTCGGGACGCCATGCCGAACCCGCAGCAACTCACCAACAAGAGGCACCGAGGCCGGGCAGGCCAAAAAGGAAGGCGGTCAGGACGGAGACGCCGGCGCAGAGGTATGACAGAAACCCCGCTCCGTGGTTGTCGTCTTTCTTGAAATGTAATGACGTCCATGTTTCTTTAATAGAAAAAATGCTCGCCGGAATATGTCTGGTGAGGCTGCCGATCACACTTCCACCAGTCAGGCTCCAGGACCGGACATAGAGGCAGAAGCCGACATGGGGCGGACGCCGGATACTCCCCCTATAGAGGATGCAGATAGGCTATCCGCTACAAATTCAGAAGTGGAGAGCGCCATGAATCATAGGCGTCGCCGGGCCGTACTCCGCGATGCTTGCTTCTCACCAGAGGCATTTGATGCCTTCAATTCTGGAGAGGCGTACCTCCGTGCTGCTCAAAATGGTCTAGCCAGATCCACAAACCAGTATGTAAAGGATGTACGGATAAGCAAATCTGACGATTATATGTATCAGTAGCCCCTGAGACTTGAAACAGTTAGCAGAACTGATTTAAGGATCATCTTATTGTGCAGGTTCTTATAGAGAAGAATAGTCGACTGTCACAGGAGCTGGAGGAATGCAAGACCCAACTTCGGGCTGCTGTTGCCGCATTGAAGGAACCTAAAAAGGCCCCATCTGGTAACATTTCTTTCGAAGAATGATAGGTACCATATAGCATGCGGCATGGCTGCAGATCTAATAATAGATATTGCAGATGAATCCGGAGAGAATCCGGAGGAGCAGCATGCTGTACGACAGCTAAAGGCTGGCGAACGCGTGCTGACTGAGGTCAGGCGGGAGAAAAACAATCTCTAAGACGCCAATACCAAGCTGAGCGTGGAACTGAAAGATGTTCGAGCCCAGCTTGCGGACTCCGAGAAGGAGAATAAGCGGCTTCGACGCGGCATTTTCAGTAAGTGCTTGAGCGAACCCTTAATAAAGGGGACGACGGAGAAGCCAGCTAACAGAGTTATGCCTGCAGGTATGCTGACGGGTCGTCCCGTGGAGGAGATGCCCGGGTCTGCGGGTGATCTTCTATCCGAGCTCTCACAACTGCACGAACAAGTTCGGCTGGTGATGCAAGGTATTGCTCAGGCCTTGTGGCCATCCGTCTCCCTACTAGAAGGCGTTGGAGAGCTTGTGGAGAAGCTCAAGGGAGCACGGCGGCGCTTCCGATTATGGAAGATATCTGCCTGCCGTCAAGGTGCCAGGGAAGCCTGGGCCATGGTGAAGACGTGGTATACCAAGGCTGGCCCAAATCACATGGCCGAGGTTGGACCTGTGGGTCCCGACGGGAAAGAGATCCCCGTTAGCTTAGTCTATGGGCAAGTAGAATTAGCCGCAAAGTATTCCCAACAGGATTGTAGGCTAGACCGCCTATTGGATGGTATAGAAGAGGAATTTAGTCAGTCTACATGACTATGTAATTAAAGTGACATGTATAATGCCTTCTATCCGGATTGTAGATCATTTGTCATGGCGGACCTTTTCGCTTCAACCTCGAGACCCAATAGTCCGGAGTGTATCCGAATACCCGCTCAGTTATATAAGAATCGGGGTATGCGTGGAGACCAGGCGTAGGGGTCATTAGTGCTTGAACAGACAAGTGCCCAACTAGTTATGTTATATTACATGGGTAGTAAGAAACATCTTCCAGGGAGAATAGTTCCGTTAAGGGTTCCTTTCCCTGGGTACGCATGCCCTAAAGTGCATGTCCGGACTGCGAGAGGAAACGCAGGAAAAAACATGTGGGGGCACATATGGAAAATAAATAAAAATCATCTTTTGTTCACCGACCAAATATTCTCTTAAGAACGCTAGCTTTCGGCTTCACCCAGTCTGAGGTACACATCCGGCTGACCCGACAGTAACAATAGCAGAGGTGCTCCCCTT